CCTTGGCCCACGTCGAACCATTCCAAGTAATGCCCATCGTCCGTTCGGACGCGCGCCCTCATGCCCTCGTGGAATGGCGAATGACCCCAGCATCTTCGGGGGCACGCCCAAGCGTCGAAGCACGTTCCACAGTAGGTCTCGGTCCACCGAATCGTATGCCTTGGTGAGGTCGACGAAGCACGCGAAGACCGCAGTACTCTTCTTCCTCGCGAGCTCATGGAGCCGCTGGATGGCGAACAGCATGTCGAGCGTCGACCGGTGTGGGCGGAAACCGCTCTGCTCCTCCGGGAGGATGCCCTCTCGCTCGCAGTAGTGGCTCAGTCGTGTAGCAACGACCTTAAGCAGCACCTTGCCGGCGTGTGCGACGAGCGAGATGCCCCGGTAGTTGCCGCACTCCATCGTGTCCCCCTTGTTGAACAGCACTTTGGTGGTGGCATCCTTCCACTGCTGTGGTACGTCCCGCGTCTGCCACACGTCCACGACATTGGCGTGGGATTCGCGGAGAAGACTTTGATCTTCGTCAAGGAAAAGCTTGATCAGCTCAGCCGGCAGGTCGTCCGGCCCGACGGCCTTTCTGTTGGCCATTTCCCGTACCGCTTCCTCAACCTCAAGTAGAGATGGGATGTCGTCGAGTGGCATGCACGTGGGCCACCGCTTGACCGTGTCAGCCGCATGCAGGTCGATGGTCGGCGACTTGGTGTTGAGAAGCTTGTGGAAACACCGTGCCCACCGTTGGCGAATAAACATGGGGTCCCGGAGGACCTTGCCGTCCTCGTCCTTGATGTTCTGAGAGGTGAACGACCTCTTACTTTCGACGTCGATCATCTTCAGGTGCCTATGGTCTATAGTGCCATAGTGTTAAGTGGCGGTCAACATATTACACGCTATCGCAACTTCAGATCTCCTCAGTTGGCTGCCCTGTGGAGCTGCTCCAGGAGCTGGTGGGGCGGTGCTTGGAGCTGGCTGGGCGGTGCCATCACCAAGTCCCGCTTCGTTGCTGTCAGCGCGCCAACGTCAATCACCAACACATCCTCTCGCCCCTGACCATGATTCTCCTCGCCATACGTCGCTGACTCCCCGCTCAGCGCCGTCCCGCTCGATGTAATATCCAACGCACTACGGTTGCTCAGACTAATAATACCTCTCGCGGAAGCAAAGGGCAAGAAAGCAGCGCTCTGCAAAGTTCCAGCATGTGAAGTATCCATACTTCGGCCGGTGGTCTTCACCAGCGCTGTGACCCGTTAGGGGTACGAGCCTCGGGTCTGCCGTGCACGCGTGCATGCAGAGGTCTGCTGCGCGGCTGCGCGGGCAGGGGACTTTCAAATTTGTGGGTCTGCAAAGAGAGGTTCCGGAGGATTCTTGAGGGCAGGCGGGTCGGCTCCTCCCCTCAAGGGCAGATTTCCGGGCGCCGCCAATGGTATATGACAATTAAAAATGAAGCATTGGATACTGACAGAGGAGCGCACATAGTGAAAATAGTATAGGAGAGGAACGCAGAGCTATTCGAGCCCACCCGTCGTTTTCAAAATATGCAGGCGTACATGGAGCATCGCGGGGACAATTTAGGCCCCATTTCCGCCCCAACTTGCGCCCCACTTTCATCATGCCCGCATACGACAACCGGGGTGGAGCCCGCTGTCGTACTCGCAGGCCAGGACCACACCATCACAAGGGAGGTTGTTTGTCAGGACAGCGCGGGATTTATTCACGGTGAGTCCTGTGAGTCCTTGTTGTGTCATGACCTCGTGATGGCAAGACCCCGGGGTAGGTGCGAGCCGAAATCCGACTACCCCGCACGTCGCAGGCGGGTCTGTCTCGCTGGAGTGGGGGCACTTCATGCCGTCGCGTGTGCCGTCAGTACATGTCTCAGCCTCTCTTGGGAAGAAATTCGTATGGAAAATGGCCTCGTGTACGCAGATTTCTCGCCAAATATGCGGATCATAATCTCACCCGCCAGCGAGGGACCCGCTCCCGAGGCAGCAGCAGCAGCAGCGTTTGTTGTCGTTTTTTAAACACAAAATGCATGCGCATGTTTTTCGCCTCGGATGAAAGTGGGGCGTGCGCAACGCCAGAACACGCCGATGACGAACAGACCAAGCTTATGGCTTCGAGCATGCCCTCGGGTTCAACTTTGATGCTGTTGTGTAGCGAACACCGAGTCCAATTCAGCGCTAGACCGAAATCTCCAAATTCGCCGCCGCTGCCAGAGGCATGTGGTGGCCCTGGCTGTGGCTATTCATGCCGCACCTGTTTCCAGTTCGGTGGCGGCCTCGCTCTTGAGGTATAGTGGAATTAGTTGTTCTAGCTCCCGTACAGAAGCAGGTTATGGATTCGAGTCCCGACAGAGTGATTCTTTTCTCGCTAATTATATCCTGGTCTCTGTTGGAAGCGAGGGGAGGGATTGTTGTACCCTTCTCGCGATAAAAATATCTCTGGCAGGAACCGCGGGAGGGGGTCCAACCCTCCCTCCTGTGTGACCCTGGTCGGGTCGTCTGGCTGGTAGAAGTGGAGGATAGGAGCCAGAGGGGCAGACGACAGAGTCCAATGATAGGAGGAAAAAATAAGTAAAAAAAAAGAAAAATATGAAGCGCAGACCCACATAACAGTTTTTTTCTCCTCTTTATCTCTTCCACTCCCCCTTCCCCTCCCAGAGGTGCCGATATGGAATGGATGCGGAGCGCCGTTTTCGGCGAGGACACCCCATCACCTGTCAGGGTTATTACGAGGCTGTTTACGGTGAGAATTGATCGCGGGAAATGTTGATGGAGTCCGTTGTCGTGTTGTAGTCCATGACACTGCGCAATATTTTTCTCTCCGTCTTCGTTCTCTTGAATTGCCCAACCGGTGCGGTGACTTCGCGCCTAGTTCCCCCACTTGTCTCAATCCCCATAACTTACATGGTTGCGGTCATCGATGTATTGAGTCGTCTCCGCGACAACAGTAATCGTTATATAGATCGCGCCGTTCGTAACGCTTTGGGCATCATTCTCGCACACTGATGACAGGCGGGCGGCGAGGAGATAGAGGACAGCGATGATACAGGAACACATCGCGAGATGCATCCAGGGCGCAAGAGTAAGCTGAAGCCTGGGTTACTTGAGAGTCGAACGAGTCTCAGCAGTGACTACTAGAGTGCATTTTCTGTGTTATCTTTTCATACTTTGTTCTGCTGGGTGTTGCCCCGTCCGTGATGACCGCTTGAAGTATTCCCCTGTTCATACTCCGACATCATTTCCGCAAAGTTGAACTCTCCGGATGCTCCCAAAGAAAGCAGAGTGCGGTTGCGTCATAGAGTTACCCCCTTGTGCTCTCGCATGCTGTTCGGCGCAGGGGCGCCGAGAGGACTTCGACGATGAGGAGAATGACGACGACACGGAGGGTTCGGACGAAGAGGCGGAGCGCGACAAGGACATGGTCCGCGAAATGCATGATGCCGCCGCGGAGTATGGTGATGTTCGGGTGAGATCGCCATGTAGATCGTTGTCTGCTCGCGCAAGTCAGACTAAGCACAAGTATCAGCCAATGTATCCAGTAGGCGTGAACTCGCAGAGTCGTATCAGCTTTCGTCGTTCAGTTGAACGACTGATCAACATCGCAACGAGGGCCTATTGGTTACAAGCTGTTCACCCGCGCATTTTGTGTTTGTCCACGGCCGTCTGGATCACGGTGCGGCAGGATGACGACCCCTCCGTACAAAATCTTAGGGTTTGCGTGCGGAGCCAAATCGAGCGGTCTTCGCGGAGACCTAGACGGCGTCAAGAAAAAGGTGTGGGAAAGGTTGGACCCCCTCTGCTTCGAGGGGCGTAGACGCTGGCTCGGCCCGCTTTGGATGCAGGTCACGTTGACGGAGTCGCCGCCTTAGAACACCGTGAAGCTGGTACTAAGCGGCGACTGCGTTCACCTTGAACCGCTTTCCTGGCTGGGAGGGTAGACTCCGGGAGTGGAAAAGTCAGCCGGAAGTGTTGGAGGCAGGGTTGCAAGACTACCAGAAGGGAAGGCGTTGCACTACCTATCCTGCATCATCAATCACGTGGAGGAGGTGGGTTGATACGGTAGTCAGTTAGCGAGTTGGGCATTTGTGGAAGGGTTTGCGTGTCTGTTTATTCCGGTAGGGATAGGTGTGTTGGAGCTACCACCAATTCCTGACGCTCGAGTCTAGAATCAACCATCCGATTTCATCTTGATAATGTGTATTCCACGGCCAAGTAGCTGAGGTACTCTACCCATGCCCGCGCTCATCTGATCGAACCGTTCCCCATCCCTCCCCTTACTGCAGGAGTTGTACAAGGTGTACGTGAAAGAGCGCAAGGACTCCGTGGCTGTGGAGCTCCCTTGCCCGAGTGAAAGGTATCAGATCACAAAACCGCGCGGGCAAGTCCTGTACTACATTGCCGGGTGGGCGGCCAGCGAGGCTTGGACGCATCAACGAAGACACAACATTTCCCAGGATTGTGTGCGTGTCGTCCAACACAACATTCGCCGGTCCAGTGGGGAGGCGACATGTACTGATTCTATGCTGAGAAATTTCGTAGCAGAAGTCGATTCGAAGAACGATATGAAGAACGGTCCGGGACTTCTTTTCCCTACGATGGAGTGGGTAGAGTTCGTGTATGCCGTGGAGAGGGGGCATATTCTATTTTTGAAAAAACCCATCTTCCTTGCTGCTTGCGTCGGAGACTTGCCAGCCGAGAGTTTCAAAGTCGTAAGCGAGGCGGAGGTCGTCAGGGAAATGTGGTGTATTGTTGCCCCCCTGGTCCTCCTGCCATCGATCCTAGTGTATCTCAAGAGATGTTTCTTTTCGTTGTCGGGAAAATCCTCAACGTGCGAATGGGTGACTTCGCGAAGAGTGCAAGGGAGAATACTTCCCTCAAGTTCTCGAAGGCCGCGCCTGCTTTGCGGCAACAGCTGAACGCACGGGTCGGGCCAAATGGAGGGGCGAGGGCCGGTAGTGGCGAAGCAATGGGGGTTGCACAGGGGGGAGGGGCCGCAGGAGGGGGCGGGGGGGGCGGTGCAAAGCGCCAAAAGGGGGGACGTGCGCGGAGGCAGGCCCCGCCCACCCTTTATCAGTTGAAGGGGATGTCTCGGGCGGATATTAGCGACAGGTGCACTGTAAGACAACTTCTCGTGCTCGTAAAGGACGCCGGGATTAAGAAGGGCACATTGAACTCCCCAAGAAAATATGATCTCGATTACCTGGCGGCGTTTGTGGGTGGGTTCGGGCAGGAATCTGTTGNTCGGGCGGATATTAGCGACAGGTGCACTGTAAGACAACTTCTCGTGCTCGTAAAGGACGCCGGGATTAAGAAGGGCACATTGAACTCCCCAAGAAAATATGATCTCGATTACCTGGCGGCGTTTGTGGGTGGGTTCGGGCAGGAATCTGTTGAAGGGGCAGGCCCCAGTGCGACGGGGAGTGGTCCAGCCGAGGGCGGATGCGGGGGGCGTGGTGGTGAGAACGCGGGTGAGGGCAACGTCCCGACAGGTAGCAATGCCCCGACTGGTAGTGGGGTGATGGTCGCTGTCGGCAGTGATTTTTCGACGTCAGAAGTGCCTGCGCAGGACGGAAGGGACGACGACGGTTACCTTTCCCGACTGGTTACAATGGATTTCTCGCTGTCGGTTTTGGAGGGGGCTCTTGAACAATTTTCCGAGGCAGAAGGTGAAAGTTGGTCTGTTCCTGGCGCCGGCTTTCGTTTCGTCATGTTGTACCGTTCATGGATCAGGACTACCATCTTATTTGTGTGCATGTCGAAGTTGGCGTGGACTATTCTTCTAGCCACTAGGAGCGCCGGCGTGTTGCGCACCTATGCCGCGTAATAGCCTTTCTCGAAGTACAAGTCTTGTATATGGGTGTAAGCACTGGTCGTTCCCCCTAGCCGGAGCCATGTCAGTCAGTGGGGATTCTCTTAGTTGCAGCATTCAGCCGAGAGCGTTGCAGTGGCAAGGTGGGGTTGAACTGCGACCAGTTATTACTTGGTGTAAATTGACAAGGAGAGCATACAGTAACCATCCCGAATGTCTTCAACACATGGTAAACCAATTTGACCTGAAGTAGCTACATTCCCACTGCCCGGGACATATCATCCTCAAGGCTGTGTTAGTGAAGAATCCGAAGTCGGTCCGATACATGTACAACCGAAACAATCGACAGGACTATTGACAAAAACAGAGAGGAAATAGGGCGGACAAGGAACAGAGAGGCTTCGTCGGTGAGCATCAAACACTCGGTGATTTTGGCGGAGGGAGATATGACGAACCTCCAATGACAAAAAGACAAGAGAGAAAACTTCCAACAACATAAAACCAGAAAGATAGAAAACTCGACTACGGGAGCAATACGCCTGCGCGTTTTGCGTGACAGTGAAGTCAAACTCACACGTCCTTCAAACACTGTTGGGGCGAGTCTTCCACCCCGAAAAAAAATAACAATCAGGACCCGGCTCCACTCGACAAGGGGGGCACCAGACTCGCTCCTCCCTACCGTCCTATCTGTTGTGTGTGCGTGGGCAAGCCCAGTGCTTCCGCAAAGCTATATCTATGACATGGCACGCTGGGATTACTCCTATTGCTGATTCCCGGAGGGAAAATCGAAATACCTGCAGTCTCCTAGCTATCTCTCTTTTCATCTCTCTCTTGCATCCGCTTGACCTAAGAAAGCCAACGCTACCTTATTCCCTTCTAACCCTCTCGAGGGATACTGGTATGGGTTGAAGACTACGGGTGTCTGGCCCGCAGGGGCTGCTGTCGACTCCTGGAATGCACTACCCCCTACCACAGGGTCCGCATGGGGTTTGTCGATGCTGATGTACCGCGGGAACATCACAGCTGAGACAGGGTTCCTCGAGGGCGCCCGCATCGTAGCAGACCGCTCGGCGTCGGTAACTGGGAGCATGATCCGTTCCCGGATCCCGGACGCGATGAAATCCTCCCCTTTCCGCGCATGGTTCGAGCGGAAAACCCCGTGCAAACTGCGTTGCAGGTCCCCTCGTGCTGCCCTTTCCTTCNAATGCACTACCCCCTACCACAGGGTCCGCATGGGGTTTGTCGATGCTGATGTACCGCGGGAACATCACAGCTGAGACAGGGTTCCTCGAGGGCGCCCGCATCGTAGCAGACCGCTCGGCGTCGGTAACTGGGAGCATGATCCGTTCCCGGATCCCGGACGCGATGAAATCCTCCCCTTTCCGCGCATGGTTCGAGCGGAAAACCCCGTGCAAACTGCGTTGCAGGTCCCCTCGTGCTGCCCTTTCCTTCCAGGACGCAGCTGTCGGGTTGCTGTGCGATCATATACCATTGGCCCATTGGCGCATATGCTCGTACCGGTGTCCCACGATATCCTGTGGGGGGGGTGTACTCATAGTCGTGCATGCCGTAGTCGTTAGACCATTGACCTCGCATCCCTACAAAGCCGGGACGGAGCACGCCGGGTTCTCACCGGACCAGGCTCTCACATCACCAAGCGCGAAGCGCCGTGAGATATTCGGCGAGTCGCATGAAGGGTGCGCTGCATCCTGCTAAGGGTTTTCGGCATCTTGTGCTTACTTCCTTGCGTACGGATGACAGCTGCGTATGACTTAATTTATTTTCTGGTGCTTTCACTTCCAGAGACAGTTGTAAGCACTGTGTAACTGCCTCGAGGGTGCTTGACCATTTCAACACAAGGTCGTGCGATCATCCCCCTTGCGCAGAATGAGGGTTGTCGACCCCGCACATTATGATCTACTCGACCACCGTTATGGTTACCGCCAAAAAAAAACGGAGGAAAAAAAAAAACGGTAACCAGGTTGCCGAGTTCACAAAGTGAATTGGCTTGTTTTACAACGTCGTTGCCAAGCGACGAAA